GCAAGTCACTCCAGCTCAGCCTGTCTGTCCTCAAGGTCGTCACAGCCAAGAGCAAGCTCACCCCCGATGGACGGAGGACAGTGAGAGTCAGAAACAAGACTCGTGAAGTAGACAAGGCAGCACCTAGCAGCAAAGTCAACTAGCTCTGTGACTAAGGCAGATGCAACATCAGATGAAAAGGTAGGGTTAGTGACAACTGTGGCCAGAAAACGAGTGACAATCGGACTAGGAGCACGAGCAAGGTCAGACGTGGGGTCAAGAACGTCAGGAAGGGAGGACGAGAGAGGTAACGGCAAGACAACACGTTGTGGAACTGAGAAAGGGCGAAGTGTCATGGTGTGAGTGCCGGGGACAGGTGGAGGTCGAACACGGCGAACACGAGGAGTATGAGCAAATGGTGAGGAAGAGTGGCGCATGCTCTCGACGCTCAGTCAGGGAGTCTGTCAACGGAGTGTAACGAGAAGGAACAGGCAGTGGGGAGTCAGGAGGTAACTGTGTTTGAGACAGGTCAGGAGGGGGAAACAGTAGAGGGGGAGTAGTACCAGCGACAGACGGCTCTCCAGAGGCAGACGGAAGATGGAGAAGCTAGTGAAGCGCTGAGCCAGGGGTGGCGGCGACGACTCCGGCTGCTCCCAGAAAACCGGTCGTCGCTGCAGTGGCCGCACTGCACTCCCAGAACCAGCTCCTCCAGTACTAGCACCAGGACCGCCTCCAGCTCCAGAACCTCCAGCTCAAGAACCTCCAGCACCTCCAGCTCCAGCACCTCCAGCACCAAAACCTCCAACACCTCCAGCTCCAGCACCTCAAGCACCAGAACCTCTAGCACCTCTAGCTCCAGCACCTCCAGCACCTCCAGCTCCAGAATTTCCAGCACCTTCAGCTCTAGTGCCTCCAGCACCTGAACCTCCAGCACCTCTAGCTCCAGTACCTCCAGCACCATAACCTCCAGCAACGGACTCAGGAACTGGCAGCGACGAATGCTCCTGCTCCCAGAACAAGGGGCGCCGCGACAGAGGCTGCAATGCACCTGCAGACCTCCAGCAGTAGTACCCTCGACTCCACCACCCTTGACTCCAGCGCTGCTCAGTGTGAAAACCTGTGCACTGGCGACCAGCGCAGGGACCTGTGCGGATGATATAGGGGCAGCGACCAGGACCCCCAGAAGCCCCACGCCCGGCATACCAGTCAAGAAGCTGCTGGGAAGTGGGGGTCTGGCGCTGACGCTGATGCTGCTGCTGCTGCTGCTGCTGCGGCTGCTGCTGGCCCTGACCACCAAAGCCACTACCGCTCCCTCCTGACCCCACGACCACCCCCACCACCTCCACCTCCCCCGCCGCCTGCACCACCGCCACCTCCACCGCCACCCCCACCGCCCCTGCCACCCCTGCCGCCCCTGCCGCTGCGACGCTTCCCACTAGGAGCGGAAGCAGCTCCGACCCCCTCAGCACCAAGGTAGTCGTGAGCAGCAGCTGCGGAGGCATAGGAGGGGGTGAGAGGGGAGGGGGAGCACCCCTCAAAGAGGGGAGAGCGAGGAGTGCCACGAGCAGCACCTACAGTGAGGATGATCTTCTCTGCTGCAAGGAGGTGCTTCTCGAAGTCGTCGACAGTGAGAGTGGTGGGGTCTAGCGCTAGGAAGTGGTCCCTGACAGAGCTAAGAGTGTCAGGGAGGCGGGTGACGAGGAAATAGAGAGTGAAGTACATCGGGAGGGGGGGGTTGCGGCGCAGAACTCGGCTGAAAGAGCGGCACGAAAGCGAGAGTCAGTAGCGCGCAGGTGAGAAACTAGGTCCTCAGCAGTGGTGAACGAGGAAAGATCGGGGAACAGGTACGGTAGCATGAGTATACCTATGGCTGCAGTGGCCGAGGAGGAGTAGCGCGCAACTACAGCGTCGTACAGTGTCTTCGCAGTTCTGTGCTGGCTGAAATGCGCTCGCTCAATAATCGGCAGGTGGTTCCTAATAGCTAGGCGTGCAGCAGCATCACGAGTCTGCCACTGGGAGCGTTCTAGAGCAGGAGCATAAGCAGCAGGAGTAACGGCAGTGCCAGAGACGTAATCAATCAGGGAAACGCCCTCTTTGGCATCAGTCAGAAGGAATAGCTGGAGATCGTCTAACCACACAGTGAACTCGATGGGACGACCGTCAGGCTCAAACGCTAGAACGTTAGGCGTCGCCATATTGGCTTAAGGCAGGAGGCAGCAGGCAGAGGCAGCAGGCACCAAGTAGGAGGCAGGAGGCAGAGGCAGGAGGCAGACGCAGGAGACAGGGGCAGCAAGCAGCAGGCAGGCGGCAGCAGGCAGCAAGCAAGCAGGCGGCAGCAGGCAGCAAGCAGGCAGGCGGCAGGTAGGCGGCAGTAGGCAGCAAGCAGGCAGGCGGCAGCAGGCAGGCAGCAGGCAGGCAGCAGGCAGGCAGCAGGCAGGCTGCAGGCAGGCGGCAGCAGGCAGCAAGCAGGCAGGCGGCAGCAGGCAGCAAGCAGCATGCAGGCAGCAGGCAGGCTGCAGGCAGGCGGCAGCAGGCAGCAAGCAGGTAGGCAGGCAGGCAGCAGGCAGGCGGCAGCAGGCGGCAGCAGGCAGCAAGCAGGCAGGCAGGCAGCAGGCAGGCAGCAGGCAGGCAGCAGGCAGGCGGCAGCAGGCAGCAAGCAGCAGGCAGGCAGCAGGCAGGCAGCAGGCAGGCTGCAGGCAGGCAGCAGCAGGCAGCAATCAGGTAGGCAGGCAGGTGGCAGGCACGCGGCAGCAGGCAGCAAGCAGGCAGGCGGCAGCAGGCAGCAAGCAGCAGGCAGGCAGCAGGCAGGCAGCAGGCAGGCGGCAGGCAGGCGGCAGCAGGCAGGCAGCAGGCAGGCAGCAGGCAGGCGGTAGGCAGGCGGCAGCAGGCAGCAAGCAGGCAGGAGCGGCCTGAGGGCTGCGTGAGGCTGCTGGCTGCGTGTGGCGGCTTGCTGCACGAGGCTACAGGCTGCGTGTGGCTACGGGCAGCGCGCGCGGCCGCAGGCTGCGTGCGGCGACGAGCTGCGCGGGCTGCGGGCTGCTTGCAGCTGCGGGCTGTGCGTGGCGACAGGCAGCATGCGCGGCTGCAATTTGCGTGAGGCTGCGGGCTGCGCTGGGCGACGGGCCGCACGTGCGCGGCTGCGGGCTGGTCGCTAAGCTGCGGGCTACGCTGGGCGACGGGCCGCGCTGGCTTGGCCTAACTAGGTTGCGCGCGGGCGGCCTAAGGGGCGCACAGGCGGGGCCGAAACGGGCTACGCGGGCTGCTGAAGCTGCGCACGTGGGAAAAAAAAGGACCGCCCGAGGCGCGCGCGGGCAGCCGAGGCGCGCGTAGGCACTAGACAAGGCAGGCAAGCGTGGTGGGCCCTAATCCTAGGTCCTAAGGACCTATGCTCTATACCATGTTAGAATTGTAGGCAAAAGTGATGTCGACTATCGAGAGGGTTGGTACAAAGAAATGAACCTAAGGGGTTGTACCCCACAGTGTGTACCCCACTAAGCCTACCCAAACTATAACACAGATATACATATGTTTGACAGATCCACCCTGAGCTTTGTTTTGTTTCTTCTACTGACTGGTCTTGTGACCATTTGTTGCTCTTGATATTCACCAGTTCACTTATGGGGGTGTGTCAAATTATATGTATATATATAGACATATATGTTGGTTAGTTCTAGGTTGTAGTGCTTGTATGGTACCTTTCATTCCTATAGTGAAACCATTCTGCTGTTCATTCTAACACGCGGCTTCCAACCGCTGCTGGGAGTGCCGATGGCGGAAAGAAAGGTGCGTGACAGCAGGCACCGGTGAAGGGGTGGCAAATCGGTGGCTAGCAGGGCTCGCTGCTAGCTGGCAGGGCACGTGCTAGCAGGGTGCGCACTGGTGAGCGGGGCACACGATGGCAGAGCGGGTGGGCTGGCTGGCGAGGCGCGCGGCGTTGCGCGCACGTTTTACTGACGGGGCGCGTGCGCACTGTTGCGAATGCATGCGCTGTTAATGTGCGCGCGTTTTGGTGGCGGGGCGCGCGGCTAGAGAACATGGCTAGCTAGGACTCATCTTATTCCTTTGTAATCCCGTAAGCCCCCGGATAGTAGCGCCCCTGGGGGTATAAACAAACATTGTTTTTTAGGGGGTGCGCTTATAATCGAGGATTTTTATAATCGCCGGCGCTTATATAATGACATTTATGAAATACGTATTTCTTACACAAAATTGTAGATCACGTTCTTGCAATTTGAATCGAGTCGAAACTATACAAGGCTGGAATTGAGAATCTCGCGCCAGTTGGCAGGGAATGATTCCTTGCCAACACACACAGTCATAATGAGTCAACTTACGCTGCCGACAGCTCATTCTGACTGGACGCGCAGGCACTGAGCCGAGCGAGGTGGAGGGCTTCGAAATTCAATCATGTGGGAATGGAAAATGTGAGTTTTGTTACAACGATTTCAGTACAATTATAGCAAAACAAAACAGAGGGTGGCGCTTATAATCCGTAAGCCTTCAGGGGTGGGCTTATAATGGAGGACCGGATATAAGCGCCGTCATCCTTTTATAAGCGCCGGCGCTTATCCGAGGCCTGCGCTTATATCCGGGGGCTTACGGTATATGCTGTAAACCCATGTACGGTACCTCATTGTTAAGTCACTTCTGTTGAGATTCAATCTCCTCCTGACAGAGTCAGACTCGTACCCAATCAGAAGCATCTTCCGATGCTACACCCTGTGCGATCAGCTTGTGACGATCCTACAAAAAGCCATTTCAGATTGTACCATAACTCACATGCGTAAGCATACCATGCCCATTGCCACCTTACTATGATATACAGTATAGAGAAATCCTTGTTCAAGCATATGCTGCAACTGCTTGGTCAAAGGCAGCTTCAGATGCTATTTGGCGCTGTACAAGAATGTGATCCGGTGCCACCGTCCTCAGTTGGCTGCACAGCGCAACAACACTCCATGTTAGAACTTAAGAGGCACTTGAGATTATGGGATCATACGCTCACAGCAGGCGGTGAGCACTCACTTCAGATAGCGCGTGGCAGGCTTCCCTCGGTGCAGCGAGCAGACAACGAGGTTGGCCAGCGTGTTGGCGTCCTTGGCATCCTGGCAGCAGCATAAGGAGAGAGGGCAGAGCAGCGCCAGGAAGGCAAGGAGAGGGCAAATCAGCAAGTGAAGACATGGGATGGGAGTGTCAGCAACCAGTGGCCGCAGAGAAGAACCACAGCAGCTCACCTTCTTGAGGGCGTCCAGCAGCAGCTCACCTTGTTGAGGGCGTCCAGCAGCAGCGCCTCAGCATCCTCGAAGTTACCGGAGTGCATCTGGGCGAGCGCACTGCCGTTGAGCAGCGACACGGACGGGCTGAGCTTGTCCGCCAGCTCCTGAAACACATACGTCGCCTCCTGCACCTTCGACCCGCCCTGTGACACACACACACACACACACACACATACACACACACACACACACACACACACACACACACACATGACGCATGGCCCATGGCACCACGCCATGTCAACAGGCATCATGGCAGAAGCGCAGAGCGCGCAGCAGGGTGAAAGAAAGAGCAGCGGTGGGCGGGTGGGCAGTGCAGTGCAGTGCAGTGCAGTGCAGTGGACTGACCATGGCGAGGCTGACCCAGCCGAGGGCGAGCTGCGTGAGCGTGGCGTCCTCGTCCACCTGCTGCATCGCCTTCACCTGCTTCTCCGCTAGGTCCGCGCGGTCCATGAGTAGAAACACCTGCACACTCAACGGGGGGGCAACGACACAGCCCAGCACAGCACAGCCCAGCACAGCCCAGCACAGCACAGCACAGCACAGCCCAGCACAGCACAGCACAGCACAGCACAGCACAGCACAGCACAGCACAGCACAGCACAGCACAGCACAGCCCAGCACAGCACAGCACAGCACAGCACAGCACAGCACAGCCCAGCACAGCCCAGCACAGCACAGCCCAGCACAGCACAGCACAGCACAGCACGGCACAGCCCAGCACAGCCCAGCACAGCACAGCACAGCACAGCACAGCACAGCCCAGCACAGCCCACGGCTCATTTGACTTTCCGCCCGCGCACACGGCACCAGCACTAGCAGTGGCAGCACAACCATCCCACCCCATCCGAGCAGCACTGCCCCGCCCCATCCCACCACCCCAGCCCATCCCACCGCCTCGCCACATTCCACCACCCCGCCTCCCACGGCCCGCACGTACAGCTCGAGGTTGGCGGCGAGGGCGTGAGCGACCTTGAGCGCGTCGACGTAGTTCTGCTCGCGCGCGTACACCGTGCCCGCCACCAGCAGCAGCGTCGCGTTCTTGCCGATGACGGGGTCCGACAGATACCCCTCCAGCCCCGCCAGCACCACCTCCTGCCGCCCCGCCCTCTCGCGTCAGAAAACAAATTCCACTCCAAGCCAACGAACCAGCTAATGCGACGAATGCGAAACGTGCGAAATGCGAAGCGCGCAGGGCAGGAGGCGCACCTTGTTGGTGTTATCGGCGAGGTAGAGCGCGAGCAGCTTGACGGCCTGCAGCGCCGTGGCGGACGACTCCGTGATCTCGTCGATCACCAGCTGCCACGCGCCACGGGGAGGGGAGGCACGCTCGTCAGAGCACGGACAAAGAGGAATGCCGGAAACGAGTGTAACGATGAGGGCGGGCGGCGCACCTGGTAGCTACCAAGCGCGATGTAGGAGCGGTACACGATGGTGTCGCACTCGATGCTCTCCGCCTCCGACAGCCCTCCCACGCCGCTCTCGTTGATCGCCGCCTGGTACGCGCCCAGCTGAAAGTTGTTCCGCAGAGAGAATAGCGCATCTGGACCGCTCATCTTGGCGATGGGAGCTCGGTGCGCTGAGCGACGAAATCCCTAGTAGCAGTTCCTCGATAGCTCGTCAGGCGGCGACGCAGATCCGATTCGGGGAGGAACACAATTTAAAATACCATAAGCAGTGACAGTGCAAGAGAAGCAGGCAAGCGGGATTTTTTGGTTTGGTGTGGGAAGGGTTGTTGTAAGGAAAATTCCTTTTCCTTACCTCGCACCCCTGCTTACCGCGTACAAGACCATTCCCGCCATCGGCACCCAACAGTGAAACGTTACCCGCCCGCGACACTCGCCTCGACTACGACTCCCCCCACCATTCACGATGCGACCCAACCTCACGTGTCGGTTGGTAACCCGTGCTCCGGACCTCCGCCTCGACATTTCCCAACCTCGGCGCTAGGCCCGTAGCGCACCCCATTTTCTCGCGTTACCGTTACCACGCTATATATTCTTCGCGCATGCCTTCGCTCATTGGATTGTTTTTGCTTCGATAATGCAATTCTCACTCGCTCGCTCAATTGCACTCGTAACACTTGGTATTCAGAGCCTACGATCTCCTCTCGGACCGCACCCACACCTTCGCTTCCCAACTATCACATTTTTGGGGGGGGGGGGTAGACGTCTCTCAGCGAACAAGCACCGCCGCTCGTAGTGCTCTCTCCTAAGCACGCACGGCCACGACAGAGGCTCTCGCTGAGCTTGCCCGACACCCCCGCCATGGCCGAAATTAATCTCGCGACACTGATGCAGGAGCAGCTCGACCGTCTCGTGCGCCAACTCGAAGATTCGGCGCTTGAAATTGCGACACTCACGGCAGAACGCGACTCCGCTCGCCAGCAATCGACGGTGAATGCACCAGCACCAACACAAGCGCTTGCAAATGCACCTGCGCAATCGGATGAGCCGATTGCCATCTCGTCCGGCACACCGTCACAACACGACAGCGTGGGACAACGCTCAGGCGCAGCCAATGATGGCGCCGCCCAATCAATGCCCGGCATGGAGAGAAACAGGGCCGCACCAAGCACAAACGGGCCTCGCGAAGCCCGTCATCACGTCGAGTTTGCAGCAACAAGCGGCAACGACAACATCGTCGCACCGATGCCGCTCAAGCCGCAACGCCCGCCCTGATTCGACCCTAGCCAATGTGGAGGTCCGACGGTTCAGTCGTGGGTCTTCACGATGAACGTTTTCTTCGACGCAAATTACGTCGAGTCGGACGCAGCGAAGATACGATATGCCGTTTCGCTGCTACGGGGCCCCACCATGGACTGTCAGAACATTATAGTGCTTACATTTGTGTAGGCTATAGTGGGGTAGCCCATAAAGGGTACAACCCAATTAGGGTTAGTACTTGTACCCAACTGTTTCATAGTTCATTCATTCTCGTTCATTCTCTTGACATGGTTTTAGAGCAGGTCCTCCGATAGGACCGGTTTTTTCCTTGGGCCCACCATTGCACTGCCCTTAGCGACCCTCGTGTCGCCCCTTGGCCCGTTGCCCTTAGGCCCGTTGCCCCTAGCTCGGCCCGTAGGCCCTAGCCAGTGCGCCCCTAGCCCGGCCCGTCGCCTCTAGCCCGGCCCGTCGCCCCTAGCCTACACGCGCCTGGCCCGTCGCCCCTAGCCTACGCGCCCGGCCCGTCGCCCCTAGCCTACGCGCGCCCGGCCCGAAACCCCTAGCTACGAGCGCCCGGCCCGTCGCCCCTAGCCTACGCGTGCCCGGCCCGTCGCCCCTAGCCTACTCGCCCGGCCCGTCGCCCCTAGGCCTCCGGCCCGTCGCCCCTAGGCCTCCGGCCCGTCACCCCTAGGCCCCGCGGCCCATTGCCCCTAGGCCCCCCCCCCCCTCCCCCCCCGGCCCCGTTTCTCCTAGGCCCCGCGGCCTGTCGCCCCTAGCCAGCACGCCCCGGCCCGTAGTCCCTCGCCCGCGCGCCCCGGCCCGTCACCTAGGCCCGTCGCCCCTGGCCCCACGGCCCCCTCTCGCTCTCGGCACCACGGCCCGTCGCCCCTAGGCCTCCGGCCCGTCGCCCCTTGGCCCCGCGGCCTGTTGCTCCTGGCCCCCAAACCCGTCGCCCCTAGTCCCGGCCCGTAGCCCCTAGCCCCGACACGTCGCCCCGAAGTCGCCCCTAGGCCCTCGAGCCGCCCCTCCTGCAGCCTGCTGCCAGACCTGTTCCCCGCGCTGCTAGGCCTCTGCCTGCCCTACGTGCTGCGCCACTATGGCTTCTCTCCGCGTTCTCGCGTTAGATCATGAGGGACGCCCCCTGTAGTTTGACACGTGGCTCGACGACCTGCAGCTGTACATACTGAGCGACTCTAGGGAGAGTGTTTCGTTGTTTGACCACACATCTGGCGCCGCTCCCGCCCCTCCCGCCACAGCTGACAGTGCGACCCGCTCACAGTGGCTGACTCGCGACGCTGCTGCCCGCTTAGCCATTCGCAACCACCTCCCGTTGGCCGAATGCGCTCACTTCGGACAGCACAGGACAGCGCAGACACTGTACGATGTTGTAGTCGCTCGCTACTCCTCGCCTGCCACTGCTACTCTAGGCCGCCTCCTACTGCCCTACCTGTTCCCCGAGCTGTCCGCCTTTGCCACAGTCGAGGACCTGGTTTCCCACCTTCGCGCTAGCGACGCTCGCTACTGCGCTGCCGCCCCTGCTGAGTTCCTTGACAGGAACCAGCCCCCGATGTTCATCACTCTCTACTTTTTAGTCACCCGCCTCTCTGACTCTCTTCGCTCTGTCAGGGACCACTTTCTCTCCCTTGACCCCACCTCCCTCACTGTTGACCAGCCATCGGCCACTGACGACATTCGTCCCAAGTGGTGGGACTGCGTCGACGTAAGTGCCTGTGGACCTATAAGATGCCATCTCTGCCTCCTCAGCTGCTATCCAGTACGAAGCCCAGGGTCCCGAGACCGCCTCGGCGTGAGTGCGAGGGATCGGGATGTCAAGGGCGTCTGGATCCCCCTCAGGGGCAAGCAGCATGGCGCAGAGATGAGGAACAGCGGCCGCAAGAAAACCAAGCTCGAACTGCCTGTCCTCTACGACCTCCAGGGGAAAGACAGGAGCACCCCCAGAGGACGGAGAACGTGCAGGGCCACTCACCAAGTGAGCGGCGTAGTCAAGGCGGTGGGAAGAGGCAAAGCCAGCGACAGTGGTAACAAGTGCTGAGACAGACGACAGAGGTGCAGTCGGGTGAGTGACCAACGCGGACAAAACACGGGAGACGACAGGACGGGAGGCACGGAGGTAGTCGGACAACGGGTCGTGAAGCACAGTGAGGGACGACTCAGGGGGCTGTGGAAGGACAGGAGGAGGTGGAACACGAGAGCGGAGAACAAGGTGAAACGGACCGTCTGCACGGTAACGGGACCGACGGGGCTGTGGAGACACAGCACGACTGAGGGGAGGACGACGAGTCCACTGGGAGGAGGAAAGGGACTCAACTGGTGGAACAGGAGGGGACGACAGGGGACCACGAACAAAGCGTGCAGGTGCTGGGTCGGGGAGGTCGCGTAGTCGCAGTCGCTGCTGCTCCGCCTCCTCTGGCGTCTGCTGCGACGGTACCGGCCCCTGCTGCTGCTCCTGTGGCTCCGCCTCTGCCCTCTCCTGCTGCGGCTGCAGCTGTACCCGCTGCTGCGACCGGGACTCATGCGCTACCCTCTCCTGCTGCTGCCGTGACTCCTCCTCTACTCTCTCCTGCTGCGTCTGGAACTGCACCTGCTGCTGCGGGTGGGACTCCTGCTCTACCCTCTCCTGGTGCGGCCGTGACTGCTCCTCTACTCTCTCCTGCTGTGTCTGTAACTGCACCTGCTGCTGCGGGCGGGACTCCTGCTCTACCCTCTCCTGGTGCGGCCGTGACTCCTCCTCTACCCTCTCCTGCTGCGGCTGCAGCTGCACCCGCTGCTGCGACCGGGACTCCTGCGCTACCCTCTCGTGCTGCTGCTGTGACTCCTCCTCTACTCTCTCCTGCTGCTGCTGCTGCTGCTGCTGCTGCTGCTGCTGCTGCTGCTGCTGCTGCTGCTGTGCCCTCTCAAATCGCTCACGCTCCTCCCTCTCCAACCGGAGGAGACGCTGCTCACGGGTCAGGAAACGTACAGTGCGCGGTGTAGGCGCCACAGTGCCAGTGCCTCCAGCTCCAGCACCCCCAGAACCAGCACCTCCACCACCAACACCCCCGGGGCCTCCAGTACCTCCCGCAGGAACACCCCCAGGCTCCGCAGCAACCGACCGCAGAGAAGAAGGAGGAGGAAACTGCGGGACGGACGGGAAGCCAGGGGGTGAGGCAGGGCGAGGCCGCCGAGTCGAGGCTGCCGTGTCCTCCACAGGAGTGACCTCCACGCCCACAACCCCTGCACCCCCAGAGCCGGCACCACCAGCTCCTGCAGCCCCAGTACCCTCACCCTCCGCAACTGCACCTCCCGCACCCCCAGACACGACAGGGACTGGACGCTGCGGGGGGGAAGACTGGGAGTGACGTGCGACACACCTGACGGGGCAGGACGCGAAGGGGGGGGGGCTACCGGGGCGACTGGTGGGGGCTCAAGGGTGAGGAACAGCGGGGGGGAAAAGGCCTGAGTACCTCGGTGGGGGCGACTCCTGTAGTAACAGACAGACTCGTCGAACGTGACGTCCTGCGAAGCGAAGAACTGGTAGGTGACCGGGTCGTAGAACACCCAGCCGGAGGCGTCCAAAGGGAAGCCAAGAAAGACGCAGGCACGAGTGCGCGGAGACAACTTGTTCGCGCCAGGGGCGCGAACGTGAGCCAGACAACCCCAGACGCGGAAGTCAGCTGCTACGCCCGGAGAACCTGTCCAAAGGGAGACCGGCGTCACCCTTGGCCGTGCGTCACTGGGCCACAGGTTCAGCTGGTGCGCGGCGTAGCGGACTGCCTGGGGCCACAAGAACTGGGGGGCACCGGCATGGCACATGGAGGTCCGGGCAACCTCCATGACCAGGCCGATGCGTCGCTCGGCTACCCAGTTCTGCTGCGGTGATGCTGGTAGCG